ATCACGTGGCAGTACCGGATTTCAGCGGTGGCGCCATGGAGAACTGGGGTCTCGTGCTTTATCGCGAGACTGCGCTACTTTACGAACAGGGTGTGTCCTCAAGCGAGAACAAGTTAATGGTCACCCTGATCATAGCACACGAAATTGCACATACAGTAAGCATTCTAAATAACGTTTACAGCTAGAACATGAAATCATACAATAGTAGTTAGCCATAAGTTAGCAATAAGCCATTAAAGTCCAGGCTTTTTGATATCATTGACAACTGTTTTTTTTTAATAAAAATGGAACTACACTTCTTTGTTAAATTAATGGCATTTTCTGCCGAAACCAATGATTCCAACTGGAACATATACAAAATTTAGACCTATATTTCAGTGGTTTGGTAATATGGTAACAATGAAATGGTGGGACGACCTTTGGTTAAATGAGGGATTTGCCAGTCTTCTTATGTACTTCGCCATGGATGCCATTTACCCAGACTGGAACGTGGTACGGTTAAAACAAATTATATCTAGTCAGCTCAAGATTTATTCCGCCTTTCCTGTTAAATAGCATTAATTGTTTTCCTCCCTGTTTAATTTCGTTTAGTTCACGCTGTCTGTTGTCGCAAAAGAAGTGTTTCCGGTGATGGTAAAAGACGCAATGACGACGTCACATCCGGTGTCAACTCCTATCGACACTCCAGACGACATTGCTGAATCTTTCGACTCCATTTCTTACAGCAAGGTTATAATAAATCTATCCATACTAATGGGATGATATAGGCTCCCTGAAACATTTAGGATTCAACAAAAGCATTTTAACTCAGAGTTTTTATAGAAATGTTATTTCTGTTTAGGGCATGGCCATCTTAAGGATGCTCATGGGTTTTGTCGGATGGGAAGATTTCCAAAAAGGCCTTAGGGTAATATCCCAGAGAAACCTTTTTTAAAATCCTTTATTTAGATCTGACAATATATTATAATGTATAAACTAGTGCTCCAATTGTTTCTATCGGATAGCTCTACGTCAACAGATTCAAGTTCCGGAATGCGAAAATGGACGAACTTTGGGACACCTTTTCTGAGGTAAAGAGCAGCCATGACATCAATCTAGCACATTTAATCTTAGAAAAAAGTGGATTTATTTTAACAACTACTCAATTGATTCGTTTTATACTTACAGGAATAAACGCTTATATAAGGTTTTTAATGCTAAATCTGTTACTCTATGTTTTCTTTCATTTTAAGGCAGTGGACTATAGATATGACATTAAGTCCACCATGAACACGTGGACCCGTCAGATGGGATTTCCCGTGATCACGATGCAGACGGAAGGGGACAGCTATAACCTGACTCAGGAGAGATTTCTATACCTAGACAACATGGCCGACAGTAACACATCGCAGTCAAACGAGGACGATTACAAGTAAGCAGGTCATCATATTCACGTATTTCAGTCGGTAGAGCGCTCCCTACGTCTGGAGGTCCAGGGTTTGAATCTCGGTGGGTTGACCGTACGTACATAAAAACTGAGGTGAAGGAAGTTCAGCTGGTCTGGATGGAACGTGTAAAATAGGCACATATTATCCTTTTGACGAGATTTTAAACACTGAGGTCCCTTGTCACGGCAGGCGTTGGCACGATCAAGTTTCCCTCACTGCTTAATGGCTTTGAGTGCCGAGTAAAGGTCAAAATTTGAAGACCTTCAACGTTCTATGGTGACGTCTCTCAGTCCGAGAAAGTCTCTAATCACGAGGTCTGACGTAAAACTAAAAAACAATTAATCAACATTTTGATAGTTAAAAAAGGTGGAATATACCATGTTTATTCCTGAAAAATATTAGGTATGATGTATTGATGCTGGCTTATACCTCCTTGTGTTGATGAACATGAAGGCTGAAGATTAACATGATCGACAGCTTATGTGCATATAAGTCAAAACCCATACGTACAGTGAAACTTGTACATCTCGAATTGTATTTTACTTATTGCTCTCCTCATCTGTCTCATACAACTCCGAGACTCTCTCTTAAGGCTTGTTTTGTTCTCCCCTCAACATTTCTTTCTAATAAGAGTTAATTGATTTCTTAGCTTATGTGCACGTTATAATGTTGCATTTAAATTTCTCTTTACAAAACATCATTATTTAGATTAAAAGGAACCATATTTAATCATTGCGGTCCTTCTCTATTCGTTCTCAGCTCTCCGAGAAAGACTCCCTCTGTATGGCCCTTCGCCGGATAGGCCTAATTTTCTCCCCTCACACCTAATGGTGACGTTTCTTATATCACGTGAAAAATTCCGGAGAGAGACGTTAAAAACAGTATATCTTTGTCAATCTTCAGGTAAAAAGAAATCTTAGATGAATAAATTTTAGAAGAAAACATTCACCTATACAAGGGTGGATTAAAGTCGCTGATTTTAACGTTTCAAAATACAAATTTAATAAATCTGACAATTAGTTTTGAAATTCAGCTTCAACTTTGAATTTTAAGTGTCTCAAAATGACAAGCAAATGAATATCATGTATGCGAAGTAGATTGGACGAATGAGAACCTACAATAAATTATTATTTATATTATATCACGGAAATAATTTAATTTTGTTTATATTTTCGAATTGGTTGATTTCCAAAAACGAAGCCAATATTTGAGATAACGGTTTGGTACTGGGAAACATTTCAAAAATTATTTGCAATCCTATGCTCATTTTAATGCCTGGAAATGGAAAAACTGTATCTTTACTTCAAAAATTGTAATTAATACATTTCATTTACACACATACAAGGTTGGCTAGATCTGAAAGTTAACCTTTCTTTGTTCAGGTTGTATTGCGCGGTAAATTTGAACACATTAACAGCAACTTATTTTGACAAGGAGTTGTTTAATTCTCTTAAAATTAAATTATAATGTTGATTATAAAGCGTAAACTGAACAAATCAATTTATAAGTTGATAATTTAACAAGAATAAAAGCATAACAATAATAATATTGACATAGATGGAATATTCAAATCATGGTTGTATGTCTTATATATTTAGATGTACGCGCAGAGAAGAATGCATTTAGATATTATCCTAACATTCCAACAACTATTATTTACCTTCAGGGACTATATTTTTCAAGAATGATGGCGTATGAAAAATCTTGTTTTCCAGTCTTTTATAGAATTTTCTATTAGTTATAACTTTTCGGTTTCAGCTACAATTTTCAAATGTAACGAGCTTTGACTTTAAGTTTATATATCAAAATAAGATTTTTTACAGAACTATGTGGCTTTTAAATGCTTGCAGATCAACTGAACAAAAGCCAAACCGTAAAAAGTGTTATACTCTCAAAAATTTTTAGTTTTTGTATCATTTAATACCTTTATGGGCGAATATCCCATGTGTTGGCAAAGAATGCAGTTAAATTTTTTAAAAAAACTATAATCCTAAAAATTAAAACGGGGAAATTATCAGCAATTAATTGTAAAATATCCTTGTCAATTACCCTGGTATTACATCTATTGACAACCTATATGGTAGTACTTATAAATTCGAAGAAATTTTTTCTCTTTACATATTAGGAATGCATGAATAAATGTATCTTTTTATTCTTAATGTATAACAAATTAAAAGCTTTAAAAACAATGTAATCTCAATACCGTTACTTAAATTAACTTTCGTATATTGTGATTAAAAATTTGTTGATTTTTAAATACAAGAAATTGAAAAAATACTATCTTAAATAAAGAATAAATACTAATATTTCAGACCTTGAAAACGCGATTTTTAAAAAAGATATTCAGATATCGCTGAGAACATTCCAGCAAACTTATGCTATGCAAATTCAACCTTTTAAATTTCAAGAAACTCGTCGAAGATAGTTTTATTTTGTTTAATTTTAAAAATTGTTATGCTCCTTTTCATTACAGCTACAATTCCTCGGTCCACCAACTCTTGGATTCTCGCTAATTATGAGTACATGGGATTTTACCGTGTTAATTATGAAGATAACATGTGGGGAAAACTAGCAGATCAACTGAACAGAAACCACACCGTAAGTTAAATACTGCATACATAGGAATTTTTGGATTTTTCATTTTCGCCCTTTCGCCCTACGGTTCGTTTGGCGAATTCATTCAACTTGGCGAGGTTTCAAAGAATACAGTATGATATTAAACTTTTATGATAAACGGGACAAAATTATTTTCATTAATGTTAAAACGGGGAAATCCTGTATATATTTAATAAACATAAATTCTTAACATTTTGATTTTAGGGCAAAATACCAATCCAATGACGCCATTAAAGATGACGACATACCTTAAGTATGAGAAGGGTTACGCCCCTTGGGTAGCGTTTTTGGATTCTGTGGAATATATCAAACTCGATATCAAATTCGAAGAAATTTTTCCTCCTACTTTAGATACCAATTGAAGTATTTCTCATTCTACTTAAAATAGCTTAATTAAGGAATCTATGTTTGATTAATAAAAACAATATATAAGGAGCATATAAAAACTACATGTAATACTAAAAAGATTATTTTAAAAAAAAAAATTTACGAGAAGATTGGAAAGGGTTTATTGTAAAAGATAAAAGAGCCTATACCCTTTCAATAATAAATATTATTTATTTACATGGAAAAAATACGTCCTTTTAAAATAAATTTGAATAAAAAGTTTCTCAGAGGCAGAAAACAATTGTTCCTAAAAATATGTTTATATATATACAGTAAACCATTTAGTCAACAATCCAATTAAAACGCTTGCAAACTCAATTTTTAGGCCTTCATTTTTATACTGATGTCAATTACTTGATCAACAATTTTATTTGCTAAAAACGGCCCGACTAAAAATTGTACACAATATTTCATTGTCTTAACTATTTTATAAATAAATTTTTAAAACGTAAACTTGGAATAGAACATTTTCTTTTGTTTAATATATCATGGAATAAAATAAAACTTTATTATACATATTTTATTTAAACTGCAATTTTTGGATTTTTCACATTTTCCCGGAGGCAAACAGAGCCGGTTTAATTGGAGATTCATTCAACTTGGCGAGGTTTATAGCAATGATTTGATATTATCTTGTTAAATGATAAATCGATGATTTTTTTATTAGATTTAAAAAAATCCACATATTTAGTAAACATAAAGTCTTAACTATTGATTTTAGGGCAAAATTACTGAACTATGACGTTGCATTAAAGATGACGACATACCTAAAGTATGAGAGGGGTTACGCCCCTTGGGTAGCGTTTTTGGATTCTGTGGAATACATCAAGAGTTCGATATCAAAGTAGGGAGGCATATAGCATATACAGGTAATACCAATTGTTTGAAGTATTTTTCATTCTACTTAAAACAGCTTAATTAAGGAATCTATGTTTGATTAATAAAAACAATATATAAGGAGCATATGTCCATTTTATAGGAAAGAGCTTAAATCAAAAGCATATGTTCTCCTCTTGAAAAAAAAAATTTGAGAAATATGGAAAAGGTTTATTGTAAAAGATAAAAGAGCCTATACCCTTTCAATAATAAATATTATTTATTTACATGTACTTTATTCGTCCTTTTAAATACTGTGAAGTATGTCTGAATGCTAAAGATTTCTCTCAGAGTCATTTTAACAATTGTTCCTAAAAATATGTTTATATATATACAGTAAACCAACTTTTATCCGCAACAATTTTAAGTCGCGTTTCAAACCAATTTTTAGGCCTTCATTTTTATACTGATGTTCAATTACTTGATCAACACATACAGCTCATGGCCAGTGTAAGTGACCAATAAAAAGGAGATGCTTTCCAACCGAAAATTAAGTTTTACGAACAATATATCTTTAGTAACTATTTTATAAATTAATAAATTTTTAAAACGTAAACTTTTTAATAGATTAGAATAGAACATGAATCTTTTGTTTAATATGTACTACAGGAATAAAATAAAACTGTTAGACTAGTTATTTAAACAGGGAGAAAATCACAAATTCCTCTGAGAACAACATTGATATTCCCAAAGACTGAGGAAGCAAATACGCGATACTATATTTCTTTTCCCTGTCAATATCATTTATCCTCTTTTAAAATGAAAAATGACAGTCATTTACCGATCAGTGTCCAAATCTATCAAGGTCACTCGGAAAGACCTCGGTCATTATCGTATCTCCTTTTATTGGCACTGACAGGGCCATTTGACTTGTGTTCACGTTATTTTATTATCTATGCATTACTGTAATATTTGCTGTTGATTGTACATTTTCGGGTATTGATTTTTGTCTGTCATTTCGGCTTTTAGAAATATCTTCTTGACCTCGTGGCGCCAGTGTACGATTCTATAGAGATGTCAATGGACGGGATTCTACCCGACAGGTATGAGCTGCCAGATATTTAAGAGGTTATCATATTAGAAGAAACCCCACTCCCTCAAAAAGAGTC